TGGGAAAATATCCAGTGAAGATTTTTTTAAAAACACGATACTTATTAATATATATGCACCCAACCTGGGAGCACCAAAATATATGAAACAATTATCAATATAATTAAAGAGGAAATTGACAATAATAGTGGGGGACTTACACCTATGGATAGATCACCCAGACAGAAAGACACAAGGATGCCGAAACCAGTGTGGCTCAGTGGATAGAGCGTCGGCCTTCGGACTGAAGGGTCCCGGGTTCGATTCCGATCAAGGGCACATACCTTGGTTGCGGGCACATCCCCGGTAGGGGGTGTGCAGGAGGAGGCTGATGGATGATTCTCTCTCATCGATGTTTCTAACTCTCTATCCCTCTCCCTTCCTCTCTGTGAAAAATCAATAATATATATTAAAAAAAAAAAAGAGCCGAAACCAGTTTGGCTCAGTGGTAGAGCGTCAGTCTGCGGACTGAAAGGTCCCGGGTTCGATTCCGGTCAGGGGCATGTACGTTGGTTGCGGGTACATCCCCGTGGGGGGTGTGCAAGAGGCAACTGGTTGATGTTTCTCTCTCATCGACGTTTCTAGCTCTCTATCTCTCTCCCTTCCTCTCTGTAAAAAATCAATAAAATATATGAAAAGAAAGTCACAAGGAAATATTGCTCTTGAACAACATATTTGGCTGCATGGATTTAATTATATTTGTAGAATTTTCCATCAAATAACGATATAGAGAGAACACTCTGAGAAGATGCTGATGAGACAGTGGGTGTGTTTTTATTTGATTGGAGGTTTGGCAGCACACCCCTGGGTCCAAGGCTCCTTTCTTGTGGCCCGTGCAGATCCAGAAGCTAGCTGCAGTGTGGATCTGGAAACCACACACATCCTGATACTTAGACCACAGCCATGGGGAGTGTGTTCCCGGAACCAGCAGTGGAGTTAGCAGCTCCCTGATTCCCCACCTTCCCTGTGGCCCGGGTACCGACTCCCTTGGCAGGTCTTTCCGGGCCATTCCTGGCCTCAGCCTACATGCCATTCTTTATATGTCTATACCAGCCTTTTACATATTTTGTAAGCACCTGCTCTCTGTGTTAAAATAGCCAGAGGCTTGCCATACCTGCAAATGAACCATGCCCACTATATGAGGATACTCCAAGTTATCCTAAGATGCCTGCATCTGCCGATGGAGTGCCAGTCAAGGCGCCAGCAGGAAACAAGGGGAACCTGTGAAGTTTGCTGCTAAGTTGTGCTTCATGAAAGGACCATGCAGGGAGGTGCGAGCAGGGGTCAGGGACCAATAAGCAGAGGTGGGTGGGGGTGGCTCATGGGGGCTCCCAAGAACTGAGCGTTAAATCACTGGAAATTTGGGAGTTGGATGTTCAGTGCAGCCAATAATAAAAGCTTATTTTATCCTATTCTCCTAAGCATTTATTGAGGTATGCTTAACAGGTAGAGGGCTGAGCATATTTAATGTATACAACTCTACGAGGGGTAAGCATACCCGTTAGCCATCACCTCCATCAAGGGCATAGACATCATCAGCCAAAGTCTCCTCCCACCCCTTTATTATTTTGTTGGGTATGTGTGGTAAGAATATTGATCATAAATCTCAACAGAGCAACTTTTAAGGCTATAATACAATAATGTTCACTTCAGGTTCTGTGCTGCATAGTGATCTCCACTGGTCATTTATCTGGCATAATTATTAGAATCTTAATTACATGAAATTGCAATCCAATTATAACTGAAATGAATTATACTTCTGAAAGGTACAAAAACACCACTTTCTAATGGTTTTACTACATGGTACTGTCATCTATGCGCTTGTAGCTAATTTTGTGTATTGGGGCTGCCAGGTGGAAATAGTGTATAATCCTGAGCGAGGACACATCTCTCCCTGACACTGGTTCCATGACATCTGCTGGTGGTTTGAAATCAGCCAGAGTTAGAATATTGACACCACGGAAATTGGCAAATGGTGCAAATCAGGCCTTGGCTTATTGCAGTGGTCGGCAAACTCATTAGTCAACAGAGCGGCAAACCACGGCTTATGAGCCACTTGTGACTCGTGAGCCCCGGTTTGCCAACCTCTGGCTGATTGTCCTGTAGATTGCCTAGACTTAAGGACGTGATGGAGGAAAATATACTAATGAGATTAAATGTATTTAAAATTGTGTGTTACTTGTAGCTGGCCCAATGTGAATAGCATAAAAATATGAGGAATTGCGTTTGCCATATTCCAACCTTATGATTTGACAACATTATGATGGATGGATGTCTGTGTTGTTTTTGCCTTACTCAAGAACATGAATGAAAATATCAAGTGACAAACATGTCTGGACCACATTGGCAATTACAGATTGGCTACAGGTATAGGAGTTTGGCAAACGTCAGCTAAAACAATCTGTGAGAATCCATGAAGTCCATGAAATTTACAATAAATAGTATCTTATATTTTATTATACTTTTAAATTGGGGGTACTACACATTCTTTATGAGAGTCAGAATTATGACCGAGCTAGAATTCTCATAAACTTCTATACAGATGTGTGTGCATACTTTCCAATTTCCCCACCTGCCCACATACCAAGAACAAGTTGCCAAACATTTACCAGTATGCCACAGCCACCAAGGGGTGGTCAGGCACCAAAAAACAAAAATATCTTCTCAATTTATTCATTTTCGTTAAGCCTCGCCTGAGGAAAAGCCACCTTCCCTATAGCACAGCCTGGGCCAAAGGGGCGGGGACAGGGGTCAGTGCTGCTGCAGCCCCTGAGAGCCGAGGAATGCAGCTACGCCCAGAACAGCAGGGAGTCCCCAGGAGCTGTGAGGAGACAAACACCCTTGCTTCCGACTCCTCCCACCCTCTGGTCTCCACTGGCTGAGCCCAACTGGCACCCTGGACAAAGGAGCTCCCTGAGTGGTGCCACCCACCTGGGGCAGCTCTGGGGCACAGAGCAGGGCTGGGTAAGGACAGCCACCAGAGCAGCAGGGAGAAGGGGGGCCAGAAGCAGCGGAGAGGAACCCAGACATGGCCTGCGGCCCCTCCTGTGCCTGAGATGTGGGGGTGGGGCCTGGCACAGGAGCAGGAGCATCTGCAACCCCTGCAGCGGCCAGCTGGGGAAGCAGGGTCTCCCAGGCCCCAGCACAGGGGGGGAAGGGCACTCCTAGGTGAATTTGAGAGAAAGTACTGTGGGCCTCCATAGCTCTGTGATTCCAGGAGCTTCCTGAGGGCATTGGGATGTGGACTGCTTTAAGAGATTGTTATCACAAAACCTTAGTGCACTGTCCTGTCCTGTCCTGTCCTGTCCCGCAGCTGGGAGTACCTGTGCGACCCGAGCACCTCCTCCTGTCACACAGCTACCGTGGATTCGCCATCAGTCAAGATGCTGTTTCGATATTTGGTCACATCCATCCTTGGCTCCCCGTTAAAAATACAAACACATAATGGAGTCAGAGAGGAGCACTCTGCTATGACTGAATGGGTCCTTCCCCCGCTCCCGTAAAATCCATGTATACTGAAGCCCTGATCCCAACCCAGACGGTATTTGGAAATGGGGCCTTTGAGAGGTGATGGGGCTTAGATGAGGTCATGAAGGCGGGGCCACACGAGGGGATGAGTACCCTGAAGACACCCCTCACGCCTAACCTCCCAATTTGGGGGACAACCTTTTCTTGGAAATCACGGGCCTGTCCTGCTGCTTCTGTCTGGTCTTTGGATGTATGTGGGGGAGGGTAAGAGGAGGGGAGGGGAGGCGGTAGCTCATGTATGTGGGGGAGGGTAAGGGGAGGGGAGGGGAGGCGGTAGCTCATGTATGTGGGGGAGGGTAAGGGGAGGGGAGGTGAGGCGGTAGCTCATGTATGTGGGGGAGGGTAAGGGGAGGGGAGGGGAGGCGGTAGCTCATGTATGTGGGGGAGGGTAAGGGGAGGGGAGGGGAGGTGGTAGCTCATGTATGTGGGGGAGGGTAAGGGGAGGGGAGGGGAGGCGGTAGCTCATGTATGTGGGGGAGGGTAAGGGGAGGGGAGGGGAGGTGGTAGCTCATGTATGTGGGGGAGGGTAAGGGGAGGGGAGGGGAGGCGGTAGCTCATGTATGTGGGGGAGGGTAAGGGGAGGGGAGGGGAGGCGGTAGCTCATGTATGTGGGGGAGGGTAAGGGGAGGGGAGGTGAGGCGGTAGCCCCTATTGCCTGCCTGGAGCAGCAGGTTTTGGAGCTGCTGTCGCGGCCGTGGGAGTGGAAAGCCTAAAGGCATCTCTTGGGGTCTCCACGGGCACGGGGGCCTTCTACAGCCCATCCTCGGGGGCAGTGAGTTCCTGGGTTGCCCCGGGGGAACTGGCTGCTTGTGGGACAGGAGCCCATCAGTACGTTTTGAGAAATACTGTTTATTCTCAGATTCCTAAAAGTCTGAGGCTGGAGGAGACTTTTAACATGGCCAGCTGTTCCCCAGCGGGCCACCCGCCCCTCGCCATTTACTGATGGACACACAGTGAGCCCACAGGGACACGGGCCATGTCCTTCCCTCAGGGCACGGCCTGCAAGCCCGAGGGCTGGTGCTCCTGCACGGCTGAGGCGGCCATGTCTGGAGCCTGTATCCCGACCACATTCCACCACCTTTCTGCTGGCTTCCGGTGGATGGTGGACGCACTCCGCCTCCCAGCACCCAGGCCTTCATTCCTGCCTGGCCCTTCCAGGAGGGGCGGGCCCGCGGGCGGCATGCACAGAGGGGCGGAGCTTCGTGAAGCATGGGGGCGGGGCTTAGTGAAGCACGGGGGCGGGGCTTCGTGAAGCACGGAGGGGCGGGGTTTCGTGAAGCACGGAGGGGCGGGGCTTCGTGAAGGAGCCCAGCCACACCTCTCACAGGGTCTCCCTGCAGGGCAGGCTGCAGACAGGAGCCAATCCAGTGCCAGGAGCCGCCCCCCAGGTCAGTGTGCGCAGGCGCAGCCTGCAGGGGGCGGAGCTTCTTGGGAGAACCTATTTTCTCACGGTGAGTGTGAGGGGACTTCCCGCTTGTGGTGACAGAGCAGCCATGCAGGCACCGAAGGAGGACGACGACGGCAGGGGTGGAGTGGACGGCGGTGCTGCGCCACCTGATGGCCCAGAGGGCGCCGTGGGCTCTGGAGACCAGAACAACCCCAGAGAGGAAATCCCTGCTGCTGAGGGAGACCCCCAGGTCGAGAGGGCCTCGCGGGCCTCGCGGGCCTCGCGCCCCTTAAGAACCTCGCGGGCCTCGCGGGCCTCGCGGGTCTCAGGGCAGGCTGCAGTGGATTCCACCTCCCACAGACGCCAGAGAACTCGAGTGTCGGAGTTGTATCTTTTCCATGGAGCCCCCTCCCGTGGGAGGAAAGGGTGAGGGGATGGGCGGGACGTGGGGGGACCCAGGGGAATGGGCAGGATAGGCTTCGGGGTCCGGGGGTCCGGGGTGGAAATCTGGAAGGACAGGGGGACTTATGGAACCAAGGTGGCTGAGGGAAGCAGCCGTGGTGGCCTGGGGACGTGGGGTGTGGCCTGGAGACACGGGAAGTGGCTCACCAGGGGCTGTGGTCCAGAGTCCTTGAAGGGTCACCCTGGAGGGTCATGGGGGGCCTGAGGGGTGGCCTGGGGCAAGACCGGCCTCCGCTGGGCAAGGGGGCCTGAACCGAAAAGTCTGTGTGGATGGAGCCTTTACCTTAACCCCACCAGCAATCTCACGGTGCCTTTCCTGTCCTACGTGGATGCCGAGGTGGCCCGTAGGTACCTCTTGGCAGGTGCTGAAACCTACCACGGGAGGGTTCACTTGAACCTTTCAGTGACTGACTGCGACCTGTTTATGTAAGTTCCAGAAGGGACTGGGCGGGGGTAGCAGCAGGGGGCGGGCGGGGCCGATCTCTGGCCCAGGGGCGCTGTTAGCGATGTGGGGACCCCAGAAGGGTGGCCTAAGGGTGGCCGTGGGGCACCGGGGCAGCCTGGGCGCCTCTCTGATGAAGGAGTTGGTCAAATTGCCAGTTGGGGGAGGGGTTGGAATGAGGAAGGCGCCCAGTTACCGCGTCTAAAATGATTTTTCTTCTCCCCTCGATCTTAGCCGATTAACATCTGAGGACGCTGACCTCCTGCAGATTTCTACTGCTTCCTTGCTCCACCGGCTTTCCATAGTGGTGCAGACCATGCAGCACTTCGTGCCCCAGTTTTGCTGTAAATGTCAGTCCCAAAAGGGGGCTTGAGGCCACAGGAGTGTCCCGTCCTGGGAAGTAACATCCTTTCCTGGGGCCATGGTTTTTGCAGTAGCTGCCGTTTTATTTGGGGTGTGGGGTTCCTTCGCTGTTTGCCTACACCAGCCCTGGGGCACTCTCTGCCCTCTTGTCTAATTGCCTGCTTAAATGTCGCCTAACTCGAGTAGTAAAAGTGAGCTATTTTGCATCTGAGTTTCTTGTCAGCGTCATTATTCTGGCCTTTGTCCTTGGGTTGGAGGGGAGGTTCTGGGGTTCAAATATTCAAGTAGAGCAGGCAATGGAAGACGATTTAGGAAAGAAACCAAGGAAAGGTACTTGGATCTTGTCATTCAGCATGAACTGCTACCAGCAATTTGGAACACTTTTATAGTTCTAGAATTGTAGGTCCACAGTGAATGTAGATTTTTTCAAGGTTAGCATTGGGTTTTTTTGGGGTTTTTTTCCTGAAATTTTCACATCTAGTATCTGGGCCTTAGTTCTTATTGAATGATGCATGGAAGATGCATTATAAAGTCATTATTCAACACATGAATCATTTTCATTTTCCCCATTATACATAATGTGTTAGTGGGCTTATTGTATATAATAACTGCATGGTTGTTTTCTTAAGATAGATTCCAACAGGTAGATCTATAATGCAAACTTGATTTCCAGAAAATATGCCCACCACATCAGAATGCTGGTTTGCCCACATCCCTGTAACTGCTGGAATTGTTTCCTGCCACCAAATACACACACACACACACACACACACACACACACACACACAGTTTGCATGAACAGAGCAAAGAATCCAGAAACACTAGAATAAGAATTGTGTGCTTTCCCTGGCCGGTTTGGCTCAGTGGATAGAGCCTCAGCCTGCAGACTGAAGGGTACCAGGTTCGATTCTGGTCAAGGGCACATGTCTGGGGTGCGGGCTCGGTCCAACATGCAGGAGGCAGCCGAGCAATGACTCTCTCTCATCATGGATGTTTCTATCTCTCTCTTCCTCTCCCTCTCTGAAATCAAAAAAATATTTTTAAAAAATTGTGTGCTTTACTGTCCTTGTTTCAGGTCAGAGAAGACAAATGCTGGGGCAGCTGGTTAAGACTTTGGGGGAGGGAGAGGGGTAGGCAGTGTACTGTAGTCTTCGGGAACTATAATTAAAAACAAAGCCGAAACCGGTTTGACTCAGTTGATAGAGTATTGGCCTGCGGACTGAAAGGTCCCAGGTTCTATTCCAGTCAAGGGCATGTACATTGGTTGCGGACACATCCCCGGTGGGGGGTGTGCAGGAGGCAGCTGGTTGATGATTCTCTCTCATCGATGTTTCTAGCTCTCTATCCCTCTCCCTTCCTCTCTGTAAAAATCAATAAAATATATTTTTTAAAAAGATCTGTATATACTTGACTGATATTATTATATACACTGAGTAAACAGATTATTATGATCTCTGGCAATCCTATATAATAAAAGGGTAATATGCAAATTGTCCCCTCGACCAGGATTCGACCAGCAGGCAGGCTGACCAACCGCCCATGTCCCCTCCCCCTGGCCAGGCTGGCTGGATCCCACCCATGCACGAATTCATGCACCTTGCCACTCAGTGTATAATTCTCAAAACAACCCAGTGAGTTAGATACTATTACACCTTTTGAAGCTCAGAGAAGCTAAGTAACTTTCTCAAGGTCACTCAGCTAGGAAGCATCAGAGGCTGGATTTGAGGTTTTATTTGATTCAAGCACCCACTCTCCTAGCCACGGTATCATACCTCCCTCAACACTGCCACCTGGAGCCCCCGGGAGGCTGGGGTAGTGCTTTCCCTCCCGGTGGCTCTGGGGAAGGTCCATGTGACTAACGCCGGGTGCAGGAGTGCACAAGTGCAGGGAAAGGAGAAGAGACAAGATTAGTAAGAGCCCCAACCTCCCCCCCCCTTTCGGGTGGCTTTCCTATACTCCCAGGTCCTTTAATATCTTGAAACACTTCACCCTCTTTGAGCTGGGGTACAATGCTGATACCCGTTTCCCTGCCCTCCCCCAACTATGAAGAGGGCTCTTTTCAGGTACTTTTAGTAGCTAAGGAATAAAAAGTAGAACTAAACCTTCTGCCGCCCCAGGAAACGTCTCCTTTCCAAAGGCAGCAGAAAAGCAGTTTGTGATCGAGTAACCGTTGCACCTGATGGACATCCGGGCAATCTGCTAAGAGATTCCAAGGACAGAAAGAAATGTAACTCTTCTGCATAGCCAATACGGATCTCGTCCTCGAAGACGAGAACTTGACACCACCAGGTCTCATATACAGTTCATCCTAAGCTTACCTGGTAACTGGGTGGCCGTGCGTATCAGATCACTGGGGTTTTCTGTGGGTTTTTTATTTTAAAAACTATTTTTACTTGTTTCATGAAGGAAGGAAGAGAGAGAAAGAGGGAGGGGGGGGAGAGAGAGAGAGAGAGAGAGAGAGAGAGAGAGAGAGAGAGAGAGAGAGAGAGAGAGAGAGAAACATCAATGATAAGAGAATCATTGATCCACTGCCTCCTGTTTGACATATGCCCTGACCAAGAATCAAACCATGACCTGGTTCACAGCTCCATGCTCAACTGAGCCTCAGAGCCAGGCAGTTCACTGGTGATTTGGACTGAACGTTTGTGTGTCTCCCACTCCCACCCTCATTACCTCAAAGTCATACATTGAAGCCCTAAACCCTGCGTGGCTGTACTGGGAGATGTGGCCTTTTAGGAAGTAACTAAGGTTAAATGAGGTCCTATAAGATCAGCCTCCTGGCCCTGGCCAGTGTGGCTCAGTGGATAGAGCGTCAGCCTACAAACTGAAAGGTCCCAGGTTCAATTCTGGTCAAGGGCACATGCCCAGGCTTTGGGCTCAATTGCAGTGGGGGACTTGCAGGAGGTAGCCAATCCATGATTCTCTCTCATCATGGATGTTTCCATCTCTCCCTCTTCCTTCCTCTCTGAAATCAATAAAATATATTTTTTTAAAAGGTTGGCCTCCTTATAAGAAAACACCAGAGCTCATTCGCACTACCTTCTCCTCCTACTCCCCCTCCTCCTTCTCCTCCTTCTTCCTCTCTTTCTCTCTCTCCCTGTCTCTCTGTCCCTCCCTCCCTCCCTCCCTCCTTTTCTCCCTCCCTCTCTCCCTTTGTCCATCCCCGCGCACCAGGGAAGGCCATGTGAGGACACAGGAGAAGGTGGCCACCCACAAGCCAGGACGAGTCCTCCCCAGAAGCTGGATTTCCTGGCTCCTTGACTGTGGGCGCCTAGCCTCCAGGTCTCTAAGGAAATAAATGTCTGTCGTTTGAGGCCCCCCCCCCCCACCCCGTTGGTATTTTGCTGGAGCAGCTGGAGTAGAGGGAAATGAATGCCTTGTATCTGTGTGACAGGAGCGAGTTTTGCAACTTGGAGCCAGGCGTCCACTGGAGTTAGGATTCCACCTCCCACAGAAACCGGAGGCAGGGATGCTAACTTGCTGCTCCCCAGGCCCATGAAAAAAGCTATTCCTGGGCCAGAAAGCTGGGGAGGGGCCTGCAACAATGGATACGTGCCTCCTGCACTGGACCGTGGGTGGGTGCGGGCTGCTGGGGAGCTCGGGGAGAGCTACTGAGGGCATCTCCCCTGTTTGGAGGGTCCACCCGTCTCGTCCACACCCTGAACTTCCTCGCGCCTATCTCCCCAGCTTTGGGTGCCTCCTGGCCCCTGGGGTCTGCACACTACGTACGTGGCTCAGAGCTGGTTTGTGCCAGGACTTAACTAGGAGAATGTGAGGGGTTCCTGCCTCAGGCCGCACAGGGGCGGTGCTGGAGCCACAGCTGTGGTCTCCTCACGCTCGGCCCCAGTCTCACCAGCTCTGGATCCCTTTCTGGGCCTGTGTTTGGCGTGGGGACAGGCTGCCTGCGTCATGGAAAGCAGGCAGAGGACAGGCGGTGAGGTGTTCCTCATGCTCGGAGGATCCACCCTGTCCCTTCCCATGGGACAGCCTGGGGGACTGCCGTGAGGCTCACGGGAGGCGGGTGTGGGTGCATTCAGATTCTAAGATGTGGACTCCCCACGTGGCTTTCTGCACATCCAGGTAGTGCCTAGAGGCCAGTCACATGCTGGTTTCTTGTCTCCTGCAGGAAAAGAAATGTGCATGCGCCAAGACCGGTTTGGCTCAATGGATAGAGCATCCGCTTGGGGACTGAAGGGTCCAGGGTTCGATTCCTGACAAGGGCACATGCCTGGGTTGTGGGCTCAATCCCCAGTTGGGGGTGGGAGTGCTGGAGGTAGCCGGTCAATGATTCTCTCTCATCATTGATGTTTATATCTCTCTCCTTCTCCCTTCCTCTCTGAAATCAACAAAGAAATATATTTCAAAAAACAAATATATAAAAAATAAAAAGATGTTGCCTCACCTGACTGGTTTGGCTCAGTGAATAGAGCATTGGCCTGCGATGCGAACTAAGGGGTCCCCGGTTCGATTCCAGTCAAGGGCGCTTCGTACCTTGGTTTCGGGCACATCCCCAGGGGGGGTGTACAGGAAGCAGCTAATCAATGTTTCTCTCTCATCCATGTTTCTAACTCTCTATCCCTCTCCCTTCCTCTCTGTAAAAAAATCAATAAAATACATATTTTAAAAATAAAATAAAATAATAAAAATAAAAAGATGTTGCCTCCTGCAAACTTTCGAAACTCCCTGGTTAGCCTAGTAGCTCTTCTGCAGAAACCATCAGATTTTCTCTGTGGCGATCATCTCTGCAAATAAAGGACTGTTTTTCTTTCTTTCCAGCCTTCTCTTGCATGATTCCTCTCCTCATTATTGGTTGTTGTTTTTTCTGCTTCTGATCGGTTTCTGGATGCCAGACATTACAATTTCCTCCTCAGTGCAGGGTATCTTTATAGTCCTAGACATACAGTGTGGGGCAAAAGTAGGTTTACAGTTGGGAGTATGTGGATCACAGTTTATCCTTGTGTCATTGTTTTTTATTTATCATTTAATTTTCCATACAAACAACTGTAAACC